TGATGATATTAGAGCAACATTGGTTGATCATGTCATCAATCATGGCCTCACAATGAGGGAAGCTGGCCAGAGAGTCCACCCACACCTGAGCCGGTTCACAGTTGCATCCATCATAAGGACCTTCAGACTGGAAAACAGGTATGTCTCCAACTCTTTACTGTATTTACAGCATCTACAGTATTTACAGTACTTTACCGTATCACATGTACTGTATTTCAAGTTGGCTTGGTACATAGCACTGTACCATTGAGATGTCACAGTACTGTGAACAGTATACAGTGCTGTAAAAAATAACTAAACCCGTAGTAACAATTTGTGGTTGCATATTTCTACAGAATGACTAGAGGACCTTTTGGAGGGGGTCGGCAACACATGTTAACTCAACTGCAGGAACTTGCCATTGTAGAAATTGTCAGAGAAAACAACGCAATCTCTCTCCGCCAGCTACAACAAAAGATTATTGCAGATGGGCAAGTATTTGTAAACATCAATGAAGTAAGCCTCACCACGATTGGACGTGTCTTGGCAAAGCACCAACTGACAATGAAGCAGTTGTACAGGGTCCCGTTTGAGAGGAACAGTGTCAGGGTCATAAGACTTCGACAAGAATATGTACAAGTAAGTTTTGCAGTCTTTTACTGTATTGCAATTTATGTAATTCATTACAGTAATAGCTGTGCCATTGTACCAGTACCACATACATGCAAAGAGGGAAAAAGGCACTGGTGTGTTTGTGTTGTAGGGAGGGGTGTGACTCTGTGTGTGTAGTACTGTGTTTTGAGTAATGCCAGCCATTCATGCTATGTATTTTGTTGTTGCAGAGAATCTTGGACATGGATGGAGCTGTACAACTACATGAATTAATCTACATTGATGAAGCTGGTTTCAACCTCAACAAAACTAGACGACGGGGTCGTAACATAATTGGTCAAAGGGCAATTGTGCATGTCCCAGGGCAACGCGGGGGAAACATCACATTGTGTGCCGCCATAAGCCTTCGAGGGTTACTACATCATCATGCCAACCTAGGCCCCTACAATACACAGCAAATACTAGCATTTCTAGATGCACTTCATGATGCACTTGAACGGGACAGACCAGAGCAGCCCAGGTTTGTGATTGTCTGGGATAATGTTAGTTTCCACCGGGCTGCTCTGGTCCACAACTGGTTCGCCCACCATGCTCAATTCCAAGTTGTTTACTTGCCTCCTTACTCACCATTCCTGAACCCTATTGAGGATTTTTTTTCCGCTTGGAGATGGCGCGTGTATGACCGCCAACCCCACGCTCGGATGCCTCTGCTTCAGGCGATGGAAGAGGCATGCAGAGACATTGAGGTAACGTCCATCCATGGATGGATTCGACACACAAGGAGTTTCTTCCCCCGTTGCTTAGCAGGAGAACATATCGCTTGCGATGTGGATGAGATCCTGTGGCCAGACCCAGACAGACGCCGGGATCCATAATGCCACCCACGCACTATTGCCTATAGTTTTACATTTTTATTTATATTTTGTTTACTGCATTTTACTGTACTGTAAAGTATACTATGATGTACAATATTGAGTTAGTATTTTGTAACCTCTCAGTACTTTCATTTTTGTTTGTTAGTAAACCTTTGTTGGGAACAAGAACTTTGAGCTTAAAGTTAACTGAGAAACAGAATAAAAACAGTGGAAAATGAAAGACTAGTGTTTTATATAAAGTACTGTAGTGTTTTATATAAAGTACTGCAGTGTGTTGCTTCCAATCTGAAAGTGTGTTCACATGATGCATGTGTGTGTCATTTTGTCCTCAGAGTTTCATTTTGACAAATGATTGTTTATTTTTGAGAACAGAGTTTGAATTTTGAGAACAGAGTTTGAGTTTTGATAAAGGAGTTTGATTTTGAGACAGATGTGTATGGTTTATCTCCCAGTGTTGTGTCAGGTCATCTTGTGTTTAGAGTTTTGGGACTATGAGCGAAATTTTGCAAAATGTGTTCAGGCAACAGGAAAAAACTGTAAGACCCTTATGGTAAAATGGATGGTGCACAGCCCAGACTCTCTTCTATATCCTCTGTAGTTTTGATGTTACAACACAGCCTCCCTTCCAAAGCAGACTTGGAACCTGAGTTTTGGGTCACGCAAAATGTTTTACATACTCAACTCTTTTTACTTGCAGATTAATATCGGACTGGGATGCTCCTGGAAATGATTTGAACACTGATTGAATCTGTTTCTCTTTATGTAAGTAAGTAAGTAATGTTAATTCATATAGCACATTTACAGACCAAGGTCACCCAAAGCGCTTTACAATTGTTGAGAGTTTAGATATTTTTCCATTCTCGCCACACATGGCTGAAGACGGAAGCGGGACGCCTAACACACAGGCGCATCAAAGCCACCAACCACCACCCTTCATTCACTCACTCATTACATTCATACCTATTGTTTTTAGAATGTTTTTAGAAAGGCTTGGAAACACAAGCTCTAACTGCTGCGCCACCGGGCCTCCCGTACCAATTATTTTTTAATCTGTTGATTTTCTGCAATTTAGCATTTCTTTGACAACTGCTGTTGGGATTTTGGGCGATATACAATTATATTACATTGATTTATAAGAGTATTTTGCCTTAGCTGACACAATGTTGCAGTTGAACTCTGGAGTGATGGATGCATTTGTCCACCACCATGATGTCTGATAGCTTTGGCATTTTTGTCTTGTGGTGCTTGCAATCTATAAACCGTCGGATTATGGCATATAAGAAAGAAAGCATTTATCATTCAGCCAACTTCAGCTCTATCAATCTGTAATATTTTTCTAGGGCCGCACGGTGGCTGAGTGGATAGCACTCTTGCTTCTTTGCAAGAAGATCCTGGGTTCGAATCCTGGTCGGGACAGGGTCTTTCTGAGTGGAGTTTGCATGTTCTCCCCGCGCCTGCGTAGGTTTCCTCCGGGTGTTCCGGTTTCCCCTACCATTAAAAACGTGCACACTGGGTAAAATCCTCCAGCTCCAGTAGTCCTGACCAAGCCGAGCATCAACACCGGGAGATGGGTTCCTGGGCGCTGTATTACGGCGACCTCTGCTCCTGACGTATCCTGACGCTGATGCTCCGTAGCGGCATCAGGATAAGTCAAATGCAGAGGATGAATATCTCTACGGGGATTAATGAAAATGCACCTTTTTCTGCACAGTTTAACAGAACTGTTTTAACCTGGCTTTGAACATTGTCAGAGTCTCATATTTTCAGGAAGACTGTTCCAGATTGTAGCAGCATAAATCTGAAACGCTGCCTCCCCATGTTTAGTCCTGACTCTGGGCACTAAAAGAAGGCAGCAGGATGCCAGTCCTTGTGCTCTTCAGAGTCCTTGCAGAAGGCCAGTCCCTTTTATGTGAGTCCCCGAACTGTGGTCGAGGGGCGCAGGGGAGTGTGTCGCTCCAGAGCCAAAGGGAAGCGTTGCCTACTCAGACTCTAAGGCTGTAGTGCAGCCTATGTGACCTATGTGACCATGCCCTAAGAGTCTGAGTTGGTACATATGGCACTAACATGACACAGATATACTTTGGTGCGAGGCAATGGAGAGACTTGAAAAATAACACAAGTTGTTACCTGCCGCCAACACAAAGTTACGCACCTTTGCTTTACTATTTGTGTTTCCATTCTCGGGCTGAGGAGAACAATTAGAGGTGACAGCTTTAAGAACGCAAGAAGATACAAGTCCCCCGTGTTTTTCTGTAATGGAAGTGTGTCCTCCACCACTCCGTCCCTCCAGACATGTGTGTATATATAGACCCTGTTAATGGCGTTTTGGGCATCACCAGAGTTCGATGAGTGGAATGGGGAAACACTGGTCTTTGATCATGCACACACAGTGGTTTTCTGAGCAATTTGTTCCAGATAAATATTTTCTATAGCCCCAGAGAAGCCAATGCTGCTGCCTATTTTCTCCATGTTATATGTTAGCACAAGCATTTTTCCACATTTGAAAAAATAATCCAAAACACAAAAAACAGTGGACTCATTCACATATATTTTATTTTGACATTAACAGCATTTTTGCAGAATTTCAGAAATGTGAGATAGGCTTCTAATACAATGTTAAAATCCAGGTTAAAAAGTTTTGTTTAGCTGTGCATACAACAGAAGTGGGATGTGCTCTCACTATTTTTAATGTACTGAGATTTGAATGTGTCTTTTCTTGATTTGTTAAGCACTTTGAGTTGCCTTGTGTATGAACTGTGCTATGCAAATAAACTTGCCTTGCCTTTGTTTTTCATTCAAGCGTATTAAAGTGTAGAAAATGCCCAAACTGTAATTTACAAAGACCAAAAAAAGACTCCTGACCCAAAGAGTCAGATCGTAACTCACAGGGATCCTTTTTACAAGAACGGAAAAGATAACATGTTTTCTAATAAGACGTTGTGTTGTAGTAGTAGTAGTAGTAGTAGTAATCTTTATTTATATACCGCCTTTTCACTGCAGATCTGAGTCTCAAAGCGGTTTACAATTGTTACAATTTTTGGGCATTTGTCTCTCACTCCACACAGAGATGGGAGCGGGGTCGCCAGTACAGGAGGCGCATGCTAGAACTATTGGACATATTTTTAGTGGTAGGGGAAACCGGAGTACCCGGAGGAAACCTACGCAGACACGGGGAGAACATGCAAACTCCACTCAGAAAGGCCCTGGTCCGACCGGGATTCGAACCCAGGACCTTCTTGCTGAGAGGCGAGAGTGCTATCCACTCAGCCACCAGTGGGGGTTGTACAATCCCATGGCCGTTATTGCCGGCAACTTTCAAATTTGGGAAGAAGTAAAACAAATTCTCCCCTCCCTCGAGGTGGCAGCATAGGGAGTAACAGGCAGAAAGTTATTTTTACCCTTGATATTTTTCACCAGGAGTGAACGGGAGGTTTTCCAGCACCTGTTGTGCTTGTCCCATCACACATCATATCTTCATATTCAGGTCTGGGGCGTTCCTGAAGCTCAAACTCAAACATTTGAATCCAATTCTCCCTAGACTGAGGTCCAGCTGGAGGTTCTCGTGGCTCCTGGAGTGGGACAGGAGCCGAGCCGGGAGCTTGTACTGTACCGTTGAGTGCGCCTCCGCTGGACAAAATCTGCAACTGCTGGAGAAGAGAGCGGAGATTAGGGACAAAAGTAATGCACCATCATCACATGTCATGTCTTTGAACCTGAGATACCTAACATTTGTGTTTGTTTCATAAAAACTCTACTTTTTTCTTTTCTTTAAAGAGTTTTGTTTAAGTGACATTTTGTAAACAAAACAAACCACAACATGCTGTCTTAACATCTCAAGAGAAAACATGTCATCTTGACGGTCACTATTTGACTGGTTGGACTAAGAGATGATTGGCTGAAGGTGGTCCTCTTTTTTTCACTTTTCTGTCTGAAAAAGCTGATCCAAAGTTGGGACAGAGGCCAAAAACTCATGACTGTGAAAACTAGTGATAGACAAAAACTGTTTTAAAGCCATGAACTAGTTTGTTTTCGTTATATAGTTCAATGTAGGTTAAAGCCCAATCCAGTCAGACCTCTGAAACTAAGCAGGACAGGGACTTGTTAGCACTGTGATGGGAGACCTCTGGGCAGACAAAACAAGACACTTCACCCACATTGCCTAGAATGAGTCTGGTGTGTGTGTGTGAATTCACTCCAGACACGGTTGTTTAACACAACCTTGTCTGGAGTGAATGAATAATGCTGTGAAGCGTGTTTGACTGTCCAAAAAGCGCTGTATTAAACTGATGCATTATTATTATTATTCCTGGACAGATCCACAATTGTCTTTGTTGAATTTAAACTTTAAAGTGAACATTGTCTTGAAAGTCAGATGTAAGTTCTATATATGGGACCTTTGCTTGCACTAGAAGACACAGTACTTGCCTCTTATTTTGCCAAATGTAAAACTTTTACACTCCTTTTTATATTATTATTTTCAAGATTGAGTTTTTTATACTTGTTATCTGATGCTAGAGTTAGAGAATTTGTTTTGTTTTAATTAGTATAGCTATTGTTCACTTGTGCTGTGTGCTCCTCCTTCCAACTGTTCTATAACTTGTGATGCAACACTGAAATTTCCACACTGGGATGAATAAAGGATCTCTTTATCTTAATCCTAATCTTAGATTTTAACCTGAAAATTTGAGGAAAGGGATGGAGTCTTGTGTGCTACACTGCTTGGTTGGACTGGAAATCTGCAGCCACTCTGCCCTTTAAAGACCCATGTATATTTTCACCTGTTTGAGAGCTGGCATGATGGAAGACGTCCTCACTCTCGCTCCAGTACTGAGCCGCCATCTTTCCGTGGTAATCCCTGAGGTGTGTCTTTGCACCTGCAGAAAAACAAAAGGGAAAAATCACATGGATCAGTTTATTTTGACAGAATACAAACACATTATCACGTCAGTTGTGTTTTAATATTATCTGTAAAACAAGATTTCTGTGTAGGAGTTATGGTGGCTGAGTGGTTAACGCTCTCACTTCTCAGTAAGAATGTCCTGCGTTCGATCCAGTTAGAGCAGGGCCTTTCTGAGTGGAGTTAGTACATTGTAAAGTGCGAGGGTCTCCTCTTTCTCCTACCATTACATCCTTTACTGATCCAGTCCCAGACCACTGCTCCTGACATAGGCTCTAGTGCCATTTGTAGGATGAGTCAAATAACACATTTCCCTATGGTGACATAAACACCCTATGCGAATATCCTATACCATCAAGTAAAGAATTGCCCGCTATATTCTGAAACTTTATCTGGCAAAGCAAGTTAAATTTTATAGCACAGTACATACACAAGGCAACACAATGTGCTCAAAACAGGATAGAAACAATCATACAAGGCACAAATCATGAATAATACAGTGCATTAAAAAGAGTTGTCAGTTGTATGCACAGCGAAAGAGACTGGTTTTAGACTGGATTTGAACATTGCCAGAGTAGAAGCCTGTCTCACATTGTCAGGAAGATGGTTCCAGATTTTAGATGCATGAATCTCAAACGCTGCCTCCCCATGGGTTGTCCTAGTCCCTGTGCTCCTCAGAGTCCCAGCAAAAGGCCAGTCCCTGTGCTCCAGATAGGATTCCATTAATTGTGTGCCATAGATTTTTGGTTAAATATTTATTTATACATTTTTAATAACAAAACACCTACATAGATGTAAGACAAATGTCGACCTAAAAAGGGATATATTTATTTAACCTTTATTTAACTAGGAAAGCCCCAGAACTTCTTTTTCAAGGCAGTCCTGGATAGATGCTAATGTGTTTAATTTTTGAGCTTTTAACCACTTATCCAACATTGTTCCTCATCGAAACAGACCCAATATCATGTTCCCTTCTCTCACATGGAGCTTGTATGGATTCCGTTCCGTCCATCATGAGTCCGTCCATGAGAGTGGTCTCATTCAGGTTCAGCAGGAAGCTGCACTGGAGACCAAGCTCATTAAAGAGAAGGATGAAGGTCAAGGAGTGGGAGAGATACAGAGACCGGACACAAACTCTGACCCTCAAAAATACTAGAGGTCTAACTAGACTTCAATACATTCAGAACAATAATAAAACTGAAATTGAAATTGAAGAGAATTGCAAAAAGTCTATGACGCACACTCTAATATACAGTCTTTGATAGACACACAAACAGACACACATGAGTGACTACTGACTGTAGCTGTTGACCAGAGACAGGACAATCTGACAATGCCCGTGAATAGAAGCCAGATGTAGAGCAGTGTACCCCTGAAAACATAAAAGATTTTTTTTTTTAAACTTCACTGTCCTTAGACCCTCCTGCATTGGCAACTAACCACTCAAAAAAAAATCCCCAAAAGAAAACAGTAGGGAATAAGTTAGAAACATGGGTATTACAGTCTTATAGTATGTAGTATAGAGATATAGACATGTGTCTATACACATGTGTCTGTGTAAATATTGTTTTACTATTGTTAGAAGTCTCCAAATTGACTTCGTTTGTCGTAATTTCTGATTAAGACTTGTGCCACGTCTGAAAAGCTGTCTTTGTTTCTGGTTTCACTGCCGAGATACAATGGACCCAAGGGACCGAGTGATCCTGGAGTCCTGTCAGCTCAGGAACGAAGATAATACATAATCACAAATGTCAAAATGCAGAGCTTCATGATGAGCGTTTTTACCGCAACAGAGACGTGGAGTGGGGATAAAGTGTACATTTAATAGTTTAAAATGATCGTTAGCAGATAACAGCATTTGAGCATCAAACACAAATTTGATTTTCTGAGACATAAACACGGTTGCAATCATCCAGATTGATGAAAGAGATGATGTGCATTAGACTAACTGTATAACAAAAAATAAACATGTAATAAAACTGAATTGTCTGCTGCAACAACATCTAAATGGCAAATTCATTAGATATAGAGCTGGGTACTGGAGTAGCTGGCTGACGAAGCGCCATCCAAGGAGCCGCCTGTACAAGGAGCAGAGAGCCAACTGCAGCCACTATGGAGCTATTATTGTTTCAATAATATTTGTGTGTGCGTAAAAAGATTTGTGCGTGCGTAACCAGATTTGTGTGTGCGTAACCAGATTTGTGCGTGCGTAACCAGATTTGTGTGTGTGTAAAAGAAATATTTGTGCGTGTCTAAATAGATTTGTATGTACGTATCAAGATTTGTGTGTGCGTAAAAAGATTTGTGTGTGCGTAAAAAGATTTGTGTGTGCGTAGAAAGATTTGTGTGTGTGTAAAGAAAAAAAAAAGTACGTTTTACACACAAGTTTTTTTTTTACACACGAATCTTTTGACGCAGTCCTGCCTTTGCAGATTCGCAAGTGTAACTTGGACTGTGTGCGTGCGTAAACAGATTTGTGTGTGTGTAATTTGACATTTGTATCTGTAGCAGAACAATCTGTGTGTAAATAACCGCGTTGTACAAAGAGAAGAACGAAAAAAGCCTAAGTGCTACGCACAGGCTCTGTTTTACACACGAATCTCTTTTTGACACACCTCTGCCGCCAAGCGTGTGTCAAAAAGATTTGTAAGTGTAATGTGGTTGTTCTAGCAGTACACCAGCAGATGGTGCTGTTGTAGCTGGTTATTACCTACACGCAAGCAAACCAAAACCACTGCCTTGACAAGACACACTACCGCAGCTGTTTATGATATTTTTTTCCTATTTTCAAAATCCTGTCATTCACACCACTGTATGATACATGGATGTATTATAATAACTGGATAGGGTGTTACTAGCTTGGAGCTGAAGGATTCTCACGTACTGCAGACTAAATTCACGTTGGCTACACAGAAATTTTCCCCATAGAACTCAAAGTAAACTAAAACAGCTGACAGATAACCTACAGCTTTCATAAAGGTCGGATTTTGTGGGAATTTTAGTGTTCCTTGTCATCCTGAACTTTTCTTCTTGTCCTTCGGTTTTCTCTATCTACACTTGTTGGTTTGCTTGCGTGTAGGTAATAACCAGCTACAACAGCACCATCTGCTGGTGTACTGCTAGAACAACCACATTACACTTACAAATCTTTTTGACACACGCTTGGCGGCAGAGGTGTGTCAAAAAGAGATTCGTGTGTAAAACAGAGCCTGTGCGTAGCACTTAGGCTTTTTTCGTTCTTCTCTTTGTACAACGCGGTTATTTACACACAGATTGTTCTGCTACAGATACAAATGTCAAATTACACACACACAAATCTGTTTACGCACGCACACAGTCCAAGTTACACTTGCGAATCTGCAAAGGCAGGACTGCGTCAAAAGATTCGTGTGTAAAAAAAAAAACTTGTGTGTAAAACGTACTTTTTTTTTTCTTTACACACACACAAATCTTTCTACGCACACACAAATCTTTTTACGCACACACAAATCTTTTTACGCACACACAAATCTTGATACGTACATACAAATCTATTTAGACACGCACAAATATTTCTTTTACACACACACAAATCTGGTTACGCACGCACAAATCTGGTTACGCACACACAAATCTGGGTACGCACACACAAATCTGGTTACGCACGCACAAATATTTTTACGCACACACAAATATTATTGAAACAATAATAGCTCCATAAGCCACAGGATAAGCCACAATATGTTCTAATTGTTTGATTTTCTAATTTGCTACTCGTTAATCGACAATTGTATTTCTAATTCTTTTATATTGTTAAATTTGTCAGCAAAATGTTAAGAATTGAGGCTTTTTTATGTTTGAAATCTTTGCAGACATGTGTCATTACAACTAATTGCTTGTATAAATAACTGAACAAATCGTGTTAAAATACCCCATTGAGTCTTCTTCTCTGTCTGGAACCATCACATTATGAAATTCAAAAGGACTTTAGATCATAATCAGGGAACGTGGAGAAACGCTCAGATGAATGAGAGGATTTGTGGTGTAAACATAAGGTGTGCTGACATTTAGAGAAAGGTTATTCTGTTTAATGTTCATATTGACTTTGAGCTTCAGGTAAAGGCCGAGAGCAGCAGGAGGTCTGAGCCAAAGGGACAATTATATATATATATTTATATATATATGTTTACAGCTGCAGCTATTACACTCACAGCTCTACACTGCTGCAAGACATCATGTGCAGCTTCTTCCTTCCACAGTGAGAGACACGGGCTTGATCAGAGACTCTGCATTTAACTGCCTTGCGACTAGTCTTTTTGTCTGCAATTTAGACAGCAGTAAAATGTTCACATGTGGGTCAGGTAAAAAAAGTTCTAAACAGAAGGGACAATACCTTGCATAATGACAGTGTGCATGTCATGGATGTGCTGTTCTTTCCTTTATAAAATTGTGTTTGTAAAAAAATATTGGAAAATTGGTTTATTGCTCCATGTGACCAAAGTCCATTATAATGCGTTTCTCTCTGGTCTTTTGCTATGATATCTCTCTACGGTCTCTCTCTCTTGTCTCTCTCTCTTGTCTCTCTCTCTGATCTCTCACGGATCTCTCTCTCATCACTCTCTCTGGTCTCTCTCTGGTCACTCTCCCTGGTCTCTCTCTCTCTATCTTCTCTCTCTCTCTAGTCTCTCTCTAGTCTCTCTCTGGTCTCTCTCACGAGTTTCTCTCAACAACACTCTAACCACCACTGCTGTCCCGAATGTGAAAATGCTGCTGTTTACACTCACATTTCCTCCAGGATAAATACTTTTCACACATCTCCTCCATCAGCTGATGTTTGTAATGGTCGCATGATTTCACAGATTTAAAAGTACATCGAGCAGAATTTAGGTCCACATCAAAACTCCTGCAAAACCTCAGAAGCTAAGCAGGACAGGATCTGGTTAGTACTGTGATGTACTGGGATGGGAGACACACACTCATATATAACTCAAATATTTAATAAAGTTGTTAATAAAACACAAATTAGTATTAAAGTATTAAATATTTGTTCTATATAAGTAAATATGAGCACTCACCCCCTACAGAGACGTATCCAATCCATTTACAGTATTTCACAGGTCATGAAAAATAAAAGGAACAAACTGGAGCATCATTTTCGAAGTTAAATCAGGCTAAAAACAGCCACACAAAACCTGTCAAGCGTAAGTTAACGTCTTTATAAACATTTTGGCATCACAATACAAGTCCTTGGAGTTCAAACAGAAGCTCACGTGCTGCGGCGGTGACGGACAGGGCAGGCACAAGACAGAGCAGAGAAACAGGTTAAAAATAAAGATATGCATGATTTTGTTGGTTTAAAGGAAGGATTTGTGACCTCACACTTAAACCTGCCAACAGCGGAAGAGCAGCAAAACAACATCACACACTCTGGTTTTACAAGCATTCATAGACAAAAGGGAAAGTTACAACACGTTGTGTGTGTGGTGTATGCACGCGTGTGTGTGTGTGTTCACTTTTAATATGTCTGTGGAGATTATGAGGTAAATAGTGTTATTAGCTTTATTAATGGCCAGGTATAATACTTTTCAAGTTACAACTTTGAATTGATACTTCAGAAGCAATCTATACTGTATATCCATTCCATTTTGGACCTTACACAAGTAAATCAGTATTGACTATAAACACCATACTTCCTGTTTTACTCTTTTCCAAATAACAAAAAATAAGGATTTTTTTCCCATTTACTTTACTAATCAAGAAAGACGTTCAATTCTTTACCTAAACCCTCTGTTGAAAGGCGCTGTGTATGTGTGTAATGCGTTTCTATGGCTGATTGATTTTTGATCAGCGAAACGCAGAGTCTTTACTTCAGCCGTTACGCCACTAACGATTGGAGACAATGTTAATTAAGCAATTATAGATGGCACAGTTCACGCGCTCTCAAAAACCAAAGAGGAGGGGCATTTGAAACACATTTTTAGGATTCTAGAGATTCTCACAGAGGAGAGGTTTCTGTACGATATCTCGAAGTGAGCGTCTTTGGATTGT